AACTCAGTAAACTTGAACTTTAAAGGGTCTCTAAGAGAATGAATGGCCAAGAAAGGGCATTACAAAACAGCACAATTCACTACAATTAAAACAAATACTAAAACTTTCAGCTAAAATTAGAGTTATTATCAACACAAGGAAAAAATAAAACACTTGAGTTTTCCTGGAACTAAATAGAAATCTACTTAGTTAAAAGCACATTATTACGCTTTATAAATTGTTACAAAACAAAAATACATAATTCTATTATTTACTAAGCTATCTTCTATTTTAGATTGCCTTCTGAAAAAGCCTTTATTTTGCTTATAGCAACTTTAGTACACAGTTATGCAAAACTTAAATTAACATAAAATCACAACAAAAAGGTAGATGAAGCAGAAGGCACAGCTAATTAAATGGGTTTGAGGTTCACCAGTCATTTTGTTTAGGGTCAAACAATAATTTATCAGGCTGCCAAAGCACACTAAATACAAAAATAACTGATTACAGGGTATGAGTAGCCAAGTTTCTTTAAAATATACAGATGAAATATCTCTTGAAATCTTTAATCATCCAAGTATGTTTTAATTACATTCCAGGTAGGAGCAGCAGCACAGAACAAGGGTTAACAGTGCGAACTCTTAAGTTAGAGAACCTAGGCACAAGTTCCAGCTCTGTTTTTTACTAGCTGAGTGAACATGGTCAGGTTAACTTTAATAACCTTAAATGAAAAATGAAAAACAACTCTTACATATTGTGTCTGAAAAGCACTTACATCAGCATTGTCTGTCACATTAAGCATTCAAGATATGTGATTTGGGATATACCTTTGCATACTGAAAACATCATTAATTTATTACACACTTCCATTCCACCTATGTGACAAAAGATACTCATATTGAAATCTAGCTGTGAAATAAAAACCGTCTATACACTACCTTTTCATATTTTACCTTCTCATACTTATTTTACCTTTTCATTTCATGTCTCCAAAATAGCTTTAATTTCTTCTAAAATTATCTTAAACCACATCAGATTGTATTTTATTTGCCAAGACTCAATCTTTGTTCTAAAAATTACTTAAAGCTAATCTGTATACAGAAGACATACTGTGAGTTAATTCAATAAAAAGTAAAATGACTATGTGAGTAACTATTGTCTGAAACATGATCCAGATCTATAACTTTTTCCCCTGTGACATAATGGGTTGGGTTTTGTCCTTAACTTCTCCAATGGTGCATATTCTTTGCTTAACTTACAATGTGTCTGCTTTCGTCTGCCAAGTTAACACTTGTTAAAGTCACTAAGACCTTGTTTTTGCTCAGGCCTTCGATTTGACAAATAAAACAGGTGTATGTGCCTACTTATGCTCATCAAATTAGGGGTTTACATAGTTAGAACAATGCCACTCTCCTTATAACACTAGATGGTAAGCAATCCAGACACTAAGACTGTCTTGCTCTTTGAAAGACAGTGGGTGTTGTAAATCACATACTTGGTGTCTAAGGCCCATATAGTAACACTGTCAACAGTAAAACTCAATAAACAAGTCAAATTTCTCAATTTTATGAATTATTTTTATAATACACTTAATATGTATGTATGTTCAACAGACACATCAGGGAATAAATGATTATTAAAGAATTACTCTTGTTGCATCTTACTTTTTTTCTTTTTTGTCAGCTTACTCAGGTCCTAGGCACTATCCCTGAGCTCTTTTGCTCAAGGCTACTGCTCTACGACTTTAATCCACAGAGCCACTTCAGATTTTTTGGTGATTAACTGGAGATAAAGACATTCACAGACTTCTATGCCCAGGCTGGCTTTAAACCACAATCCTCAGATCTCAGCCTCCTGAATTGCTAAGATTATAGGTCTGAGCTACTGGAGCCTGGCTTGTTGCACCATTTTTAAATTTCAAAAACTACTCAAAATTTTAAGAATCTTTTGTCATAACTTTTCAAACTTAGTGATCAGTTGTTTTATAGAGCAAAATAATTGCTCAAGAAGACATAAAATTTTCTTAATATCACAATTTTCCTTTTTCTGCTGATCATTTCCTATTAGTGTCTGCTTTCAGGTTTAGAGTCTACCGTTTATCCTCACTGCATCCAACCTCCCCAAAGTTACGCTAAATCCTCTCTCCCAATGGTTCTCTCAGAGCATCAAGAGATTATACTAACCTTACTGTACTCCAGGAATCTCCGAGTTCGTTGGAATACTGTTTTTCAAAATGATCCAACACAACTTTGCAAATCTGTTTTGCAAGCTTCCCCTCTGATTTTGATCTCAGCTAAGATTATAAGAAAAAAAAAGATACTGACACTCAATGATAATAGTACAAATTTATTGAACAACAACAGCGTGGTCTTTTTATTTACAAAAAAATCAAAAGATACCCCTGCCATTTGGTCATGGAAGCATTATTAGCTACAACAAAGCTGTGTTACTATTACGCAATCCACTTATGCAAAAGCAGGGTTTTTCAACCTGATCGCTGTCCAAACGTGAAGCACAGGTGAGAAGTGGAACTGATCATGCCAAGAAAACGGCATCAACTAGAACAAAACTGACTTAAAGAAGACCAGAGGCGGCTCCGTGCACGCCTCAGGGGGGCTACTACCTGTTTGCGCCCCGCGTGAACCGAGGCCGAGGCCCGACAGACAGGCTAGGGGGCGGGGAGGCCGGACAGACAGGCCAGGGGGCGGGGAGGCCCCGTGTCTTCCCGGAAACTTATTCCTTAACGAAAAGCGTTTCTTTCGAGGTCCAAGAAAAATGTACTGAAACCCGGTCCTCGGACTCCGGGACACACCAGCGACCCGGAGCGAACACCGGGACCCCCCCACCCCGACGCGCGAAGGCCGGGCTCGAACCCGGGGAAGCTACGCGGCGGCGGGCCGGGCAGCGAGGCCCCGCGCAGGGAAGAGCTCTGGGTGGGGACCTCGGGGACTCGAGCGCAGCACCAGCGCACACGACACTATTCCAGGCTAGGAGACGCGTCGGGGTCGGGCGCCATCGCCGAGCCCGAGCCCCGGGGCCTCACCCGAGTCAGCATTGTCCCAGGAGGAGCGTCCGAACGAGACTGCGACGAGACTCGACGTGAGAACGACCGAGACAGAACACCGGACTTCCGCGATGGCCAGACGAGCGGCCGGCTCGCGGGCTTTCCTGCTATGATCTCGCGAGATCCCCTTTGGCGAAGTCTAGCTAGGAGATTGACAGCTTCCGCGAGAGTTTCGCGGGAGGCGGCTCCGCGGCTCCCGGAGGCAGGTGTTTCCTGGGACCCGGATGCTGTGGGCCCGTAGGGCGTGGAAGCTGGGGGCCCTGCTGGGAACTGGGAGAGAGGCCCAGGGATTCCGGGCAAGTTTCACTGGTGAACTGTGTACGTGCGTGGTCTCAGCCAGGTGATTTATCGTGACTGGGTCCATCAGTCTGAGAACTTGTCACGGGGGATGTGGAGAAAGCTCAGGCAGGCTCTGTCCCAGGATGGCAGGTTAAGTCGGATCACACACCAGTGGAATGTTACCGCAGGGTTCCATTGGAAACAATCGCATCAAGCCAGACCCTCCGAAGTACCGGCTGCAGGGTTTCGCTCCTTTGTGTGACTGTATTGTGCTATAAATCTACACGTAAACATCGCGCTTGGCTATGATAAACAGGCCTGTGAACACACACAGACCCGAGGAGATGGGGCCTAGGAGAGGACCCCAAAGGCTCATTGTGCATGTGATCATACAATACTTATTGAACGCTGGGGTGTGGAAACAGGGTTTTTAAGTTTTGTTTTTTTCTTCGTGGTCACTTTTATGTCTTGTATGTAAGTTTATCTATTTGGGGGACAACAGAGAGAACACAAATGGTGGGACAAAGGGTGAACAAATGCAGCAATAATACTCTAGACACTGTGTTGAAAATGAACTATACAATTGGGGGGGAGGTTGAGAGTGAAAAACTAGGAGAAAGGGAAGAGGTTCAAGAGGAAATGTACACATTACCTACATAACTGCAGCTCCTCTGTAAATCACCTTTACAATAACATTTTTTTTTGGGGGGGAGGAGGGTCCGGTCGTGGGGCCTGAACTCTGGGCCTGGGCGCTGTCCCTGAGCTCTTCAGCTCAAGGCTAGCGCTCTCCCACTTGAGCCACAGCACCACTTCCGGCTTTTTTCTTTGTGCTGAGGAATCCAACCCAGGGTCTCATGCATGCAAGGCAAGCACTCTACCACTGAGCCATCTTCCCAGCCCTACAATAACAATTTTTAAGTATATTATTTTAGTCTTCAAATTTAATTTGTCTTTCTGAAAACGTATTTTAAAAAACCTCATTATCCAAAGAATCTCATTTAAAACCAACAAATGTAAGAGAAACAACATGCTGGCATAAATTATTTTATTGTGTAAAAATGTAATTAATAATGATCAAGAATAAAAATGTATATAACAATGCATATAACAAAATAGATATTTAATTGTTAAAACCTACATTAACAAAATATCTTTCAAAGTATTTATTAGAACACTTTAGAGAGACAAATTAATTTTCAGTAGGATTATATAAAACATTGATTCACTTTACAATATTTCAAAATCTTTTATTAAACAATGTCAGTAATTATACAGAACAGTAAATATGTATAAGAATTTTAAAATGTCTTCCAAATCAGAGGAATGGGGAAAAGATAGGAAATGTATGAGTTAGTTTTTTAAATGAATAAATGTATGTATTACAGGAATCTAATATAAGCCAATTTTCCCTTACAATCCAGTCCAAAATCTGTATCCTGTCTTCCTCCAACGCTTATTCTCACATTTCAACTGCCTATGGAATTTAGGAATTTTGTATCTGAAGTGGAATGCTTTTTGATCAGTGTGATAGGTATGTCACACATATAAACTCCAAAAATTGGTACCATAGTGACTATAGAATTAAGTGGCCTGTTTGTGAAAAATGTGAATACAGTGGGATGCTCTGAAGTAAAATTTAATCATAGGAAACTGCCTCAGAGGCACTACTGCGTGCTGTCAATGTAAGTTACTAAATGCACCAATCTTATCAAGGTGACTTGAGAATTACTGTGCTTATCTAATTTTACCCTTGATATATAAAGTCAGGCTTTCAATTAAAGGTAACATTATGAAACCAGTACTCAAAAGTATCTAGCTAAAAGTTGGAAGACAGATGAGTAGAGAATCTGATGATACTCTCAACTACAAAAAAGCGCTATTATTTTAAACTGAGAAATTAAGAAAGTATATATGAACAGTATACGAGCTAACTTTTATTCTTATTGCTTTAATGTCCAAACTTACTTGTTGCAAAATATAAACCTCTGAACCTGCAGGTGCCTTTTAAGCCGTTTTTGTCTTGAAATTTAAGTCAGAAAATAACTAGCTCCTGACAGTATAAAGGGCTGGTGCGGAGCACCATTACCTCTGAAAGTGTCTGGTTCTAGAAACAGGGGTGTACTGTATCTTAGAATAATGTTCACAAAACATATATTTATTTTAATGAATTTTAGTGAATATTTATTTTTAAAGAATCTTTTAAAAATTAGATTTTAAAAAAGCATTTCAAGTCTATTTACTGGGTTCAACACCAAAGAAAAGAAGAAAAATAACCACAAATGGAACTGTGTCTTTGGGTACATATCGTTTAGTAGAAGAAAGATCTGAGAATTTGCTTTTGTAAAAAAAAAAAAATTAAAGTTAGGCCAAAAAGAGAATGGATACTTGAAGAATAATGTTATAACAAAACACTTCAACCCATATAAATATATCCTGTTTTTGTAGTTCATGTCTGTCAATCAACTCTATATTCCAGACACAGTTTAAACAAAGTATCTGCAGAAAAGTGCACAATGAAGAAAATAGAAATTAAACAAAAGTCAAAAGTTTAGAAAAATATAAAAATAGTTAAAAATGTAGTTACAAATCCCCAGGAATTCCCATTCCATACACATGTATCTTACAAAAAATGTTTATTGTATAGAAATACAGACTATTAAATAGTAAATAAAGTATTCTGAGTCCACTGTCTCTACTTCTAAGGAGGTTTTCCTTCAGGAACATGCTCATCAGCAGGATGTGTTAACCATAATGTCAACACTAAATCTTGCTAATTCGATTAAAATGCTCATACAATCTATTGGTCATTTTGTTTCCTTCCTGTTTTATCTGTGATGATATTGGAGAAGCAAATCATCAGATCAGCGTCTTGGCTATTTTCTTCACATTAAAATCAGTTATTTACTGCAGTCATCAATGCTCAGGGTTTTTCTCCTTTTAGAAATAACAAGGCTCCAGATCCCTTTTCTAATGTTGACAGCTAGTCCACATGACTAGGTTATGAAATCACATCATGAGCCTCGCTGTTAGGTCTCTGTCGCACAGCCAGTGGAGGCAGCGGCTTCCCATAGAAATCTACATAAAGAAGGAAACCAAAACCATTATGGAAGTCAAACTTTTTGAAACAGTTTTTTTATATTCCAACCAACATCTTCAAAAAGAGCAAAACAAGAAGTTTGGTCAAGGAAGATGATAGGTAAGGAAAATAAAAACAAAAATAAGAAACCACAAAAAAATGTGAATAAGTTCAAACAACCAGGGTAAATTCTACTCGACCTAGTAAAATGCTACACAAACACACTAATATCTATATTGGTTTCTAATTACATACTCATGCAAGAACAGATCAAATATATTCACATCTTCACAATCTTCTCACAGGATACTTGTAAATCTGTATTTGTACATACTGTGTTTTTATCCAATGGTGATTACTGCTAGGTATTTTAGAAGAAGCAAGTTACAATAATGTTTCTGCATTGTTCATAGTTAGGGAAATTTTATACAAAATAGTCTATCTTTAAAATAAGTTTCTATTCCTTTAATGATCATAAATTGGCTTATAAGCTTAATGGCACATATGTCATCTATAAGTAATTAATTTCGAGTCTACTATCTTAAAATCATTCCAGAATCATTAGGTGTTCAGGACCACTTAAACATATTAAAATTGTATAGGAGGGATATTCAGTGCAACTAGTAGGCTTCAATGATGCCCTGACAAATGTTAATATAATAACACAATGAGTTAAAGTATGGGATTCAAAGCTGACAGATCTAAGCTCAAATCTGGATTCAACCATTTATTAGCAATGTGGAATATATGAGATCATCATGCACAAAAGGCAGACATTGTCATGCTATAATTTGGGAGAATTAAAACTTTAAGCACAATGGCAGGCATAGGATATGCGATATTATTCTTGCTATCATTAAAATGAAAACAGAGGTAGTTCTTCGGATAAATTTAAAAATATTTTCAGAAAAGATAGATCAAATGCATGTGTAAGAAGTATCTTTTTCTTTCCCCCAAATTAAGTTCATATCTGTCACTGTTTTTATCGTATTTTTGCCAAAAAAATGCATTGTTCCATGCATACAGGTATGTGATTGATTTCATCATAGAGGATACAAGTAGAACTTAATATAAGTTGTACATAAATAAATAAAATGATCAACTTAATTGCCAACACACATCCTAATAAAGAACTTCAAATATTTTAGTTTATATATTTGGTATTTTTGACTCTTTGACTCATTTCTCATGTAATACATAATATATGACATGGACAGAATAGAGGTTGAGAGTGCCCAGAAAGCTAATCAGTATTCTCGGTTAAGTTTTTTCTCCAAATGAATCTGTCTTACCATTACATCAAGCAAGCTTTGTATTATTAATGCTATTTAAAAAGTAGAGTCAAAGGCAGGCAGGTCCCTGTGGCTACATGCCTGGAATCCTAGATATTCAGGGAGGTTGAGATCTGAAGATCATAACTGGAAGTCAGCCCAGGCAGAAAATTTCATGAGAGTCTTAATAGAGCTGTAGCTTAACTGGTATAGTGCTAAACATGTTTGAGTTTAAAAAAAGAAAAAAAGTAAGGGACAACACCCAGGTCCTGAATTCAAGCCTCAGGACCAGCAAGCATACACACACACACACACACACACACACACACACACACACACACACACACACACACACACACACACACACACACACACACACACACAGTCAAATTATTATCAAGGTAAATTTTTGTAATCAAAGTGTACGACTCAATTAAAATTTTCTGTTAGAATTATAATAAGTTTGTCAACTCAGCAAATTTTAACTGACTAGAGTTGATTTTTAATTATGTATTCTGGTTTATCACATATGTTATCTAGTTTCCATCAATCTTTTATCAATCCAGTTATAGATATATAGACCAAAAATGTGTTCAAAATTTAGAAAAAGAAATGTAACCATATATTAAGTATTTAGTAGGATATCAGAGTAACATCTCTTGATAAACCAAAAAAAATTTAATGTGTTTTATATTAAAATACAAAATGTTATTATGCTTGTTTTCTTTTCTAGTTAGAGATGAATGTACATATTTTTTTTAATCTAGGTTGCATATGCTTTAACTTTAAATTACTGGAAAAATAATGGTATTTAAAAACCTTTAAAGGTTATCTTGGGTTTCTCTGTTCTGGGAAAGTAATTTTTGATGAATAAATAAAAGCCAACTGGATTATTAAAATATAGTGACCTTATAGTTTTACAATTCTTTCCATCTAATTTGGGAGCAAATGTAGAAAAATGAAGGAGGAGGGACCAGTTTCAAACTCTTACACTAACTGTCTTTGTGAGACTCTCCCTGCCCCATGAAGGTATCATCTACTCTTTGCATGTCATTTGACATTCTCCCACAAACAGCAAACTAGCATTTCCTCAACAAGTGTTCATTATGGCAAAGTACTCTGGCTATGTGATGACCACTGGGGAAAATATCCTACCTATTCATCCTCTCCAGCTTACCTCCTGAGTCCCTTCTGTCTGAGTGACATTATGTTAGACTGTCAGACTTTCCAAACAGATACATCACATACCTCTACGTATCTCTCCAAAACAGATTTCCTTCCTACTCATATTTTTAGTCTCAGAGACAACACTAACCTTGCTAGTCCTTTGAACCAAAATTTTTCTATTTCTCCTGCCCTCCACCTATATTTCCATTACTCTAATATCACTAATAATTCTTAAAATAATTTTGTGTATTTTTCTTCATTATTACAATGTCCACTTTGATTACAACAGCTTCCTGACTAGGATTCTTCAGTTTGTCACTATCATTAAGTTTTTACTTCACATTGTGAGAAGAATTATTTCCCTAAGCATTAAATCTACTAATAACAATTCACATGCTTAAAAAGCAAGTCCAGATATTTTAACATAGCTAGGAGCCTTTTTCCATCAGTATCAAAGTCCAAATTTCAATAATTTCTAAAATTTAAAATTATCTCTTTTTTACTAACTCTATTCACATCAACCTAAACTGTAGTAGCAAGTGATTGCATGTTGTCCAAATAAACCCTGTACTGCCTGTTCTCACCTTTGTACCATTTTTTTATGTGTGGGGGTGGAGGGTATAAGGTGCTGTCTTTCAGACAGAATCTCATTTCGTAGACCCTGCAGGGTGAGACAGAACTTTTGATACTATTGCCCCAGTTTCCTGAGTACATTATAGTCATGCCTACTATTGAATAGTCTGTTTCTTCTACTTACTGACTCCTTAATGTTTGAAGACTTAGTTCAAGGGAACTTCCCTAACTCCTGCAGTTTATGCACAGTATATAATTCTGTACCATATTATGTTCTGTAGTAAACATTACTGTGTAAGCTGGAGTGTGGTCCTCTTCATTAGGTAAGGCTCTCTACTATGTACATCTTACTGATCTTAGTATTAGAATGTTTTTAGCTATTGTCAAGTGAAAAATAGATGCTTCCTGAAATATGAATTTAGAGAAAACTATCAATCCTATTAGAAATTATTTTTCTACAGAAGTATGTGTATACAAGTATGTATATACATATGCATCCTTAGGCTCAATTTTCTGTTCTGTGACTATTTATACTGACAATATACTACAGTACATATAAATCGGGTATAAAGCAGGAAGTAACCTATTATAACCAAGAGAAACATTACAATGTAAAAATCAGCAAATAAGGCAGAAATGTAACTCTCAGTCTGAAAACAAACTTTTCTGCTTTTAGAAATACAAAATAAGTCTAATATTTATTTAAAATATTTCATTACTGACCTATAGTATTATGAGAAAGAAAACAAGCAGTGTGTACTTACATACTTCTTGAAAAATAATAGTTTTACATAACATTAAATTATATGGCACTAATTTTCTAAAAATTAGGAAATACTAGAGTAAGTTCTATGTTAGCCAGCAAAAAGAGAACTGGAGGGACTGGATGTGTGCCAATCTAGTAAAGGACCCTGAGTTTAAAACTTAGTACTAATAAAAATGAGGGGGGAAGAGAAAGGAATTGGATCCTTTCAATGAACAAGCTGGCAGAGCAACAATTGTATGTCATTATTCCTTTGTATTTACATTAAAAAATAATGAAAAGAAGCTGGGTGCTGGTGGCTTGTGCCTATAATTCTAGCTAGGAGGCCAAGATTTGAGAACTGAGATGCAGACAAAGTCCAGGAAGACAAATCCTTACATTTTACTTTCAGTTAACCTGCTGGATGTTCATGGTAGTGGTAAGAGCACTAACCATGAGTGGGAAAAGAAAAGTAAGATCAGATCACAAGGCTTGGACTTCAGGCCCCAGTACTGGCACCAAAAACAAAAACAAAACAAAAAAATGCAGGTTAATAGTAATCAGTCTTTCATTCCTTTTTTGCCTGTTGTCATTTTTCTATGACTTTCCCTTTATTTTCTCATCCTTTACTTCATGGAATTCAAATGTTATACACTAGTTATAACTATAGCAATTCCATTCAAGCAAATTTTTCTCTTGATTAATGGCTTTATTAATAAATGTTTTATCAAAGAATATATTGATCATATACAGAACACACTTATCCCACTGTAAATGTAATTGCAATATTTTAGCTTTAAATTTTTTCCTTTTTTATAACTGTTCATAAACATAGAAAAACAAGTTTGATTCTTTTTATTTCTGCATTCTAAAATAAACACAAATAAAATTATAGATGTAAAGTGAATATAAAAATTTAAAACTTAAATAAAAAGAAAAAAATCTAAGTATAACAAAAAAGGATGGCAATGGATATAAAATGCTTCCAAAAATAAAATGTTAAGTTTGTTGAAGTTATGAGGTAAAGAAAAGTGGATGTAAGATGCATAGATGATATTTGAAAACTGATCCTTTTGTATTACCATTATGACGGGTTTCACCAAGAGGCTCAAGTTTTGGAAGTCTAGTGACTTTGGGGGTTCCCCAGCCAACTAAAGAAAAAGAAAAACATTTAGAAGCACTGTTAAATAAATGTCTCTTTAGTTCTGTTGAGAGGGTTCCTCCCTTGATAAAGAAGTGTTGATTCAAATGTACCAAATAACAGTACTGAATAACCATGAATCCATTTTAACCTATTCCAAAACAGGCTAACATTTGTTTTAACTTACTAGTTAATTCACCTTTAGTTAAAAAAATATGTTCCTTCATCACCATCATAAACAAACTTTGGGCCCATTTTAATCCGTAGAAAAGCTAAAAGAAATATGTTTTATTAAATGGAATATTAGAACTGAGTCTTTGAGAAGTTCATAAAATGTTAGTATTGTAAGCTTTATAATGGTCATCACAACACATTTATGTATTCATTAAGTATTTCTGAGGTAAAGTATAATATTTAGTGTCAAGAAGTTACAATTATTGTGCAGCTATATCCCAATACATTATACCACTTAACCCATGAAACAGGTGGGTATGATATTGGATTAATATTGCAAAAATTCAACTTAGGTAATTTTCAAGATGAAAAGGTGAAATTTTTCAAAGCTGTCATTAGCCATTAATTCATCAAACTCAATTTTCTTTGCATAATCTGAATATTGATATTTAAAACAGAATTTGAACACAGTCTAAGAATTTCAGGGTAAGGTTTACTAAGTAGTTTTCACCGTTGTTCTTTTTTCTGTGTTTTTATTTTCATAAAAAATAGATTGACAAATATTGTACAAATAGACTGCAAGACTCTTTCTTGCAAATTCAAAAGGTAATAAAATACTAACAAAATATATAAGTTATTTCCCTTTTCTTCTGTATTATTTAAAGCAGTATTTCTTCATTCTGTATCAATATCAATTTACTCACCAGGAGGAGGTGGTGGCAGTGGTGCCGGACTCTTAGGAGCAGAGTCATCTGTATTAACTGGTTCTACCCGATGGTTCCTTTTCATTCTTAGTTTCTTAGTTTTCTTTTTACTGGTATCTATAAGACATAAAACCATAACTTCATATCATTGAGGAAAAGTGCCCTTCTATAATAGAAAAAATAGCAAAACAAACTCAAATATGATCCTTTGAATTGTGCACCAAAGAGATCCAAATTAATTATAAACACATTACTCATGATATAATACTTATAAAATATATGCACTATCTAAACATGTATAGCACAGTAGTAGATCAAGCAGAATTTAATATGTAATATTTCTAAAAAGAAAAAAGAAAAAAAGCAACTTTATCAATTCTATCTTAAACCCAGAAAAAATTTAAGAATGGGTAAATTTTCACATAGAATGGCATAGACCTAGAACACCAAATATGCTAAAATATTTGAACAATTCTAGAATCCTAAATTTATATATGTAGTATGCATTTTCTAAAATTAGTTTCTGTAAATAAGCAACTGCCACATATGTGAAACCCACAAAGCAATATAAATTAAAAATAAACAAAAGCTGAGAGCCAGTGGCTTATGCCTGTAATACTAACTACTCAGGAGGCTGAGATCTGAGGATCAAGGTTCAAAGCCAGCACAGTCAGGAAAGTTCCATCAGACTCTTATCTCCAATAAACTACTCAGAAAACCAGAAGTGGCACTGTGGCTCAAGTAAAAAAAAAACAAACATAAAATAAAAAAACAGCATTTTAGAAACAAATTATTTTTCTAAATAAGTTGGCATTATTTGAGACATTTCTGTACAGAAATAATCTTTTAGAATCAAGGCTATAACTTTATAGCTGGAAGAATGAAAAGATGAAGAAGCACTCTAGAACCATTTGGCACGTCAGGATGGACAGTAACTGAGGATGATGGAAGAGCACAGACTAAGGAACAAACAACTTGAACAGTGGCTTCACCATACTCACACACCAGCTGTATGATCTTAAGTTGCTCAGCCTTTCTAAATGCCTGCTTCATATTTATATGATGATGACAGTGTGATCCACAATTGCTATGGTAAAGACTATGTAACACTACGTTGAATAATATAGTGAACCAAAGGCATATTTTAAAGTATGAAATAATGTTGTCTGAAGCCATCACTGGGGCAGGGAAGACCATGAGACATTTATATCCAATTAACCAAATAAAAACCAGGAAGTGGAACGATGGCTCAAGTAAGAGAACACTAACTAACCTTCAGCAAAAAAGAGCAAGGACAGAGCTTAGGCCCTGAGTTCAAGCCTCAAGATGTGCATGTGTGCATGCACACACACACACACACACACACACACAACACACACATATACACTATATATGTACATATATACTATAGTGAAGAATATCATTAAGAATTGAAAGGAAGTAATAATGATTGAGCATTTCCTGTTTTTTGTTTATTTATTTTTAATTTTATTGTAAAGGTGATGTACAGAGGGTTTAGAGTTACATAGGTAAGGTCATTTCTTTTTTAATAGTGTTTTTTCCTCCCTCATTTTCACCCATCCCTCTCCCAACTTCTACCTCTGCAAGTTGTAAAGTTTATTTCCAACATAGTGTCTGGTGAGTACCTGTTGTATTGGTTCACCATTTGTGCTACCTTTTCTGTGATTCCCCTTCCCTTCCCCAAATCAGCTAAACTCATGTAAGTTAACGTGTACAGAAATCAAAAACAATAACAACAGAGAATAAACCAAAGAAAGAATAAAAGCAAGAAATACAAAAGACGTAACAGCAAAAAATACACAAAAAGAAGAAGGGGGAAAAAACATGTTTGCATTTCTTGGAGTTCATTGTGAGAAGCATCATTTTACATAGTCAAATGCCCACAGCCATTGAGCTATTGTGATTCTGTTAAGAATATTTGGCAGGTACTAAGTTAGGAATACTGCAGTGATAAGCAGTCCTACAGATAAATATGATGCTTATTATCATGATGCTTATCCTTTAGTTTTGTACTTTTTCTTTGGTGAGGAGGAGTTGTAGATTTAACTCAAAACCTTGCAACATACTCTATCACTGAGCAATATCTCTTACTCCATGAAAATAATTTTTTTCATGAAGATAATTTTTTTAAATGTACTGATTATGCTTGCATCCTAAAAGTGGCCAGGAAATAAGGAAAATAATGTTGATTTTCACATTACAAGACTTAAAAAGGTAAACACAAACAAAAGACTGTAAAATCTTAAAAAATTTCAAAGATTTTCAGGAATTATGCTGCATTCCTAAATTTATGGAAATGAAATTAAAAATTAAATTTTCTACTAAAATCCTATAAAAGATTACATATTAAGTAAGCATAAAAAAAGTAAGAGAGGGCTGGGAAGGTGGCTAGTGGTAGAGTGCTTGCCTAGCATGCATGAAGCCCTGGGTTCAATTCCTCAATACCATATAAAAAGAAAAAGCCCGAAGTAGTACTGTGGATCTAGTAGTGAGCAAAATAAGTTCAGGGACAATGCACAGGCCCTGAGTTCAAGCCTAAGAACTGGCCAAAAAAAAAAAAGAGTAACTAAAGACTATAAAAACCATAAGAAATACATTTAGAGACAAAATCTATTCCAGTACCTTTTTTTCAAAAATAAGTATGATGTAAATAAAATGAAACATGATTATGTATCTATGAAAACTACTTAAATTAATGAGATTTCTTACCTGATTCTGAAGACTGTTGGTCTATCTCATCTTCATTCTCCAACCGCTGTATTATTGCCTCCTTATAATTTTCTATTATTTCAGATTCTGTGTTTTTGTGGATATTATCACCAATCTGGCTCTTAGATTCTATTTGTTCATGTTCCATTTTATGTTTCAAGTGGCAATCACTACTATCACGATCCTTCACCATTGTTTGCTTCTTTTTTTCTTTTTCAAGCTTTTTTTCATTCTAACAAAAATGAAGTACACTATCTTTATTATCAGGGTATATCTAAGATCATGTTTAAGAGATCAAATAATCTAAGAACATTCTGTAACTTCAACATACTGACATTTCCTACTCAAATGATTATGTTATTAAAACATGCTGGCTGCTAAATACTTATAAACACAGAAGTTACAAAGGAAAAACAAAACAAACAACAAGCCAGGCAACAGTGGCTCTCACCAGTAATCTAGTTACTTAAGAGACTAAGATCTGAGGATTGAGGTTCCAAGCCAGGACTGGCAGACAAATCTCAAAGATACTTATCTCCAATTAATCAGCAAAATGCTGAAAGTGGAGGTGTTGGTCAATTGGTACAGTGTTAGCCTCGAGTGAAAAAGCTAAGCACGAGGGCACGTCCCTGAGTTCAAGCCGCAGTACCGACACCAAAAAACAAAACCCCTCAAATATTATCAGTAATTATATAATCTAGAGGTGATCACTAGTCAGTATATCATATGCTTTTCTTGGCATATTCTCACACATATAGAAACATAGACTGTCAATAATATATAAATACATTAACTGTCTCCAGTAATTAAAGGTCTTTGAGGATATATATTTATTTTCCTGTTAATGAATATGTGATGTTAATAGAATAGTATCTAATATGTAAAAAGTGATATGTAAGTTTTAGCTGTTATAGTTTTCATCAATTACATTAATATTTTAAAGTTGTATCATAACTTATCAATTCCTCTTCTATGGACAAAGAAATTTCAAATTTTTCACTATTATAAGAAATAAACTGTTTTATTCATTCTTAAAATTAAGCTCCTGGATTAGGCCATATATTTTCAAATGTGAACTACAATCACAAATTTCCCTTTACAATCACAAATTTCCCTTGAAAAAAACTGAAACAGTTTATTTATCCCAAAGTGTTGGAAGAATAACATTTTTCTAAATCACCTTCGAAACTGCATATCATTATCATTGTTTTATAATGCAGCTAAACTAATGAATAATAATTTTAACAGGGTTGTTTGAATTTCATTTGAGCTTGATTTACATTTTTAAATTGCTTATTACTGTAGAAGATGAACTAATCAATACCTCTATGATCCTTTTTTTTCCTCTTTAGGGAACTGTGGTATCCCAATGGTCTTTTTACTATTATTTTTCTTACAGAAATTCTTTTATTTTTTCATGTTGTTTGTGACACTAAAGCTAGTCACACTGAACTTTGTGTATTTTATTTCTTACTTAGAAATAGCTTTATTTTTATTTTTGCCTTTTAACTTTGCATAACAAGCCTTTTAAAATAAAATGTCTACATTTACCACTTTTGCTCATGGACAGCTGAAAGAAGAGACTAATGGGACAAAGAGCAGAGAAGTCAAGGGCAGGCCTGACTTCACACCAGGCCCACAAAGAATGTAGGAGTGTTTGAGGAGTGCTGCATAAGAGCGAAACTGGCTGGGAAGGGGCATGGCTGCTGGGAGAAATTAAAATACAGCTATGCAAACTGTGGGCATGAGCCAAGATGAAAATGAACACACAACACACACATGTACAACTCACACCAACACACATATACACACATAATCACTTAACTTCTTCATAACTCAGACCTATAAGTAAATGTTGACAAAACTTGTGATAACTAAAAATTAAATAGAATTCAGGTACAGGAGAATTTGTTGTCAGATTTCTGAAACAGAAAATTGTATATGTACCAGAATATAGTATAAACATCTAAATATTATTGTAAAGTAATTCTGGGATACAACATATATAAGAGTAAATGTATCACTGCTAAAAGTAAAAACAAAAACAGTAGCTGCAATTATTTACTATATTCACCCTTATTTTTATTCCCACTTATTTGAAGTCACAATTTCCTTTTTATTCTACACCAAGTTACCTTTTGATTTTAAAAAAAAGTCATTGATTTTACTGTTGATCTACCCCCTAGCATCAGAAGATGAATTATAAGAGGAAGAAAACTCAGTAAATATTCAGTCTCTCAGTTGCACTTTTGTTAGAGCTAATCTCACTGAACAATGTCTTCTACTTCCTGACACAATTTCCTTACCTCCTTTCTGAAATTGTTAATTTATCATTAAAATGAATATGTATATACATATATATTTGCCACACCTCATACCTCAATGATTACAGATGCTATTGGCTGGAAAGGATTAACAAGAACTGGCGCAGGGTCCATCTCAGCTAGATCACTGCTTCCATCAAGTTCAGCTTTCTCTCGTTCTCTTTGCTCTCTATTATTTGAGGGGAGAAAAATTGAAATTCCTTTTGAAAAAAAAATGTTGAATCATTCCTAAGAAATATATTTGCAATAGCTGTAAGGTATTTAAATTACTCTTAATAAGTAAGTGAAGAGAAACTCAAACATTATAGAAAAGTAGAAAGGCAATCAAAGAAAATACAAAGTAATTGGCAATTTCAACTCCTATTCTCCTGTTCCTAAGCCTCAAACATAAGTAAGTCTGAACGGGCCAAAAACCCCTTGTGCTACCAGCAGTCTAGAAGTCGAAACTACAGGAGAAACATGGTTCTTATAAGCTTTAAATTCTGTATGGGAAATTGCTGTGAAAGGAACTCCTGCATAACAAACTCGCATCAGAGAACCCCATTACATCATTGGCAAACTCAAGAGGATTAAAACTAGTTGCCATTTTGAGAAAGTTTCAATTGTTAGGAACTAAATAAACTATTCTGGCCTAAACTAATCCTTAGAGACACAGTAGTACTGAGTATGTAGGAAACTTCAACACGACACAGAAGGAATATCAGTGAAAAACCCAGCAATATGTTCAAGCACTGGGCAGCAGGGTAATTTGGGGCATGGATATTGGTCCTATTGCTGATCAGTTGGCTGGGGTCCTTTTGCTCTTTCTAGATAGATGTCAGAAGTAAGCAAGGAGAAGTTCTTCCAGTGCTGGCAATCATGGGCCCCTGTGTCTAAAGCTAAGCTGACAGACCTAGTTGCTTTAAGCTTAAAGTCCTAAACTAGAGGCCTGGTCTTCCAGGCTTTAAAAATTATGGCTCTAGGCACGCAGGAGGAGGCTTATCATTAATAAAAATGTCATGTATTTTGCTCTTCAAGTAAACTGTGCTGCAAAATTATTTTACCTACCTTTCCTCTCGTAATTTTTGCACTCGCTCAGCCCTTTCCCGTTTCTCTTGTTCCTCTTGAGCACGTTGCTCTGTTGTGTCTTTTTGGATGCGTTCATTCAAAGCATCAAAGTCTTTTGCAATAATATGTAGTAGCCAATAAAGGCCTTTTTTAATGGACTTATCAATTTTCTTTCCATACCCCAAAACTGCTGAACAAGGTTCCTGAAACAAAAATTTAACTCAAAGATGAAAAGTTCTCAATACAAATGTATTCAAAAACCATGAAGTAAAATTACTGACAAACCAAAATCAAATGACTTGTTTGTTTATTTAACTTACAAAACAACTTTCAGTGATAAATAACTTTAGTACTATACAAAAATTAAAAGCTTTGACAGATACTATCTGTAAGGTACAACAGATATTATGACCCAAACATTAAGACCAAGAATAGTTATGTGTATTAGAAGATAAAATTAGACTAACCTAAGAAAAGATACTATTTTATAAAAATATCAGGAAATCTTAATTTCTTATACTAACTACTTTATAGCAGTAAATATCAATAAATCCATAGTTTAAAGACTACTGTAGAGCCGAGCACTGGAGAATAGCTTACACCTGCAATCCTAACTACACAAGGGACTGAGATATGAGGATTGAGGTTCTAAGCCAGTCCAGACAGAAAAGTCAGTAAGACTCTATCTCCAATTAATCATCAAAAAGCCAAAATTAGAAATGTGGCTCAAATGATAGTGTGCTATCTAGCTTTGAGCAAAAAAGTTCAGGGACAGTGCCCAGGCCCTGAGTTCAAACTGGATCAGCACAACAGCACAACACACACACACACACACACACACACACACACAGATTGTCTTATAAAGCGAGAATAAATTAATCTTCTGTCATCTTCCTTAAAATTGTATGATAACTCTCCTAATTTTTAAAAATTCATTATAAATTGCATATTTATACTTTTCCTTTCTTAATTTCCATAATTTACAGAATGACATATTGGCATAATTAATATGTCCTAAAATAAAGTCTTAAATTATTAACTAATACTAATAAAACAGAATGAGGATGATTCCTTAAGTGGAAAAAAAATCTTAAAATTATTCTCTAATTGTTTATCACTTTTTTTTTTGGGTCCAGTCGTGGGGCCTGAACTCTGGGCCTGGGCGCTGTCTCTCAGCTCTTTCAGCTCAAGGCTAGTGCTCTACCACTTGAGCCACAGCGCCACTTCCGGCTTTTTTCTTTTTTTGCTTATGTGGTGCTAAGGAATCAAACCCAGGGCCTCAGGCATGCAAGGCAAGCGCTCTACACTGAGCCACCTTCCCAGCCCATGTTTATCAACTTTTAAAAGTTATTTAAACATAATTTAAAAAACAGAGAATATCAATAAAATGAGGAATATATACAGTGGAATTTTATTAATACATCAGAAAGAATAAGATTGTCAAATGGACCTAGAACAAATCATGCTAAGTGAGGTAATCCAAGCTCAGGAATCAAATGGCACATGTTTTCTCTCATATATGGAAGCTAGATTTAAAATATAATTGGACATGATAACCTATACAGGACTCTAGGCACATAAACAGTCAGACTAAAGGAAGATACCCTTGGAGAGGAACCAAAGGTATATACCTTCTCTAGCATTTAAATTTTACTTACCAAAACAAACTCCCAAAGATGAAAGCATGGGTTTTGTTGTTGTTATTGCTGTTGGTGATGGCGATGGTTTTTGTTTTTGTTACTTTTTGGGGGGGGGTCAAAATGGGGTGCAGAGAGGAAGGAAGAGTTAACAAATGGAATCATGCTACTTGGTATACACTAGGTGGAAAATAAACATGTGGCCAGGGCCAGAGCAGGGTGGGGAGAGGTGTGGAGGGGGAGGAATTGGGAGAAAATGAAGGAAGGGGTGACATTGCCTCAAAAAAATAAATGTATACATTACCTGACATGAAATGGTAACCCCTCCGTGTAACACCTTAATAATAACAATAAAATTGTATTTAAAAAAATTAAAATCACTTACTATTTGACACAGGCACTTGTGCTCATTGACCAGTTTTTCCAGAGAAAGACATTCAATCACATCAGCTTCTCCTAAAGCCCCTTCCTTGTCTTGTTTATTTGCCAAACTAGGAAGACAAGGAAGTGGTATTATAGCAAATGTATATTTAGATGACAACTTAAAAATAATCTGACCATGTTCTTTTCTTCCAAAGTTTAAAACCTACTGATTATAGAAGAAACTGATTTTAGAATGTATTGTAGTCCTAAGTTTTTCCTTATTTTCTATTGTTATAAGTTTGAAAGCAGTAGCCTATAAAAAGAAAACCAAGTAAGGAGGAATGTCAAGGAAGCAAGGACCATAGGAAAATTGGCACACACCTGTAATCCCAGCACTTCGAAGCTAAACAGGAAGACTTCAAATTCTAGGTTACATTGCAAGATTCTGTGTCTCAACACACAGATGGGGAAGATCATGGAGGGAAAGATGAAGGGAGAGGACAGAGGAAAGGGGGAAGAAAAAGTAGATCAATAAAAAAGCTACAAACAGAAAAATGAATAGGCTCCTTTCCACAGTCTACAACTGAAAAGTATATCCTTCTTTAAAAAAAAAGTATACAGTTATTTCATGATCTTATCTTCTTAAAATACAAAACATATTATATTTTAACTGCCAAACATTTATTCTAAGTTTGTAATATTTTAGTTTATCTCTATTTCTAATTTTATACATGGCAAAAGACATAGTTAGCAAGATAAACTGAAAGCCCACAGAATGGGAGAAGATCTTTACTAGCAGCAGACAAAGGTCTCATATCTAAATACTTAAAACTCAAAAATTCAACCCTCCAAAAACAAATCCTCAAAGAAACAACCCAATTAATAAATGAGCTAAAGACATAAAGAGAGACTTCTCTGAAGAAGAAATAAGAATGGCCAATAGACTCATAAGGAGATGTTCAACATATCTGGCCATAAAAGAAATGCAAATGAAAACAACATCGAGATTCCACATCACCCAGTTAGAATGACCATGATCAAGAAAATTAATAATAACAGATGCTGGCGGGGATGTAACTGAAAGGGAATGCTACTACACGATGGATGGGAATGTAAACTTGTTCAACTACTCTGGAAAGCAGTATACAGATTCCTCAAAATACTAAATATACAGCTTTCTATGACCCAGCAATGTCATTCCTGGGCATTTATCCAGTTGACCACAAAGTGACCACACTAAAGCTACCAATAATGTAGGAACATTTCTATAAAAACACTCAATTTACTGGACACCTAAGCACTTCTAATTTACTTGGTGTAGCACTAAGCTTCAATATATATGGTATATGTTTGTGTTTGTGTATGTACATGCATATACGTAAGTACGCACACACACACACATTTTAGAGACAACTAGTGTACAAAATGAAAAATCAAACTAACTTTTCTAAAGAAAAACAAATGTCAGCCAGATCCTGGTGGCTCACACCTGTAATCCTACCTGCTTAAGTGGCTGAAATCTGAAGATCAGAGCTGAAAGCCATCTGAGGAAGGAAAGGCCAAGAGACCTATCTCAACTTAACCAACAGATAACCAGAAGTGGAGCTGTGGCTCAAAGTGGTAGAGCTCTATAGCCTTGAGCAAAAAAGCTCAGGGACAGCCCTGAGTTCAAGCCCTGTAACTAGAACAATAAATACAGAAGGAATTACTATGAAATAGCACTGTTTACCTGCTAGATAGTGGGGGGAGGTGGGAATGGGGAGTATCAATAAGTTCAATAAAACACAATTGGTCTTCTGAACTCCTGAATTCCACATCCACGGATTAAACCAACCAAAGTCAGATAAAAAATATTTGGGGAAAAATAAAGTTGTACTAAATGTATACTGACTTGTTTCTTGCTACTCATTCCTCCCCCAAAACATACTGTATTAACAACTATTAATACAGCACTTTCATTTTGAGATCTAAGAAATCTGGAAATAATTCCAGTTATACAAGGACATACGTGTAAGGTTAGGCAAATGGAACACTATTTTATATAGGGTTTAGAATATCTGTGGATTTTGATAATGAAGGGTACTAGAACCAATCTCCTATGGAAACCTAAAAACAACCATACTGTACTAGTCAGGTTTGACAGACTTTTCGCAAGAAAAAAAAAGATTTAATTAAAAAATTAATAAACACATAGCAAAATTTAATGAACCTCTATCATATACCTTTAAAAATCACTGGTACCATATACTTTAAATAATCTGTTATTATCCCTTTTTCTCTCTTGGTCACTTCACCCCCAAACTTTAAAATTAAATAACATCACACCAAACGGAATGAGTAATATCTTTAATATTAAATGGGGTCAACATTCCCAGTATAATTTTATAAGAATGTGTTCAAAATCAGATCATATAATTATGATTTAGACAAAAAGGTGTTAAATCTTTTAAAATTTACATTATCAATCCCACACACTTTTCCTCCCATCAAATTTATCTGAAAATAAAATATTTTCTCTATAGCATTCAGGCTCAGTCAGAAACAGTCCCCTTCAAATGTGAGGGTAAGTACAACTCCAAAAGTCTTTTACTTTTCAGTATGAAACAATGTCCTGGGCATCTAGTCTTTTCAGGGAAAATATATTTTAAAGACCAAAAGTTGGGCATTGTGATCCATCATTATCATGGACTTTTGACTATTTCCTAACCCTTTCAATACTAGGGTTATTTTCTTTTTAAATTATGAGCATATGGTTTTAACTTCAAGTTAAAGATGACTGTTTTTAATTAGCATCTCACATCTTTGTATCTCTTTACTTTTGTGTTGAAAATTGTAAGTTCTACATAGTATTGGCATTATCTAATTGCTTTATCCTTCCTACATGAGTTTCAACTTAATGTATCATTACTAAGATTTATTAAATGCAGTTTAAGAGCTTTTTGTGGTTATTTTGGTCTGTTTATCACACTAACAATTTACCAAATACTGGGCTTCAAAACCACTTGAATACCACTTCTTTGTGTAGCCATACCACAGCTAGAAATGTAGCTAAACTCATTTGTTCCAGGGTGCTTTTGCTTTTTTAGGGATAATTTGGTTCTTTAAGATATAATTTTTAAAATGATTACATGGTTCCAAATCCAAAGCTATATAACAAAGCACGGACGGGAAGAACCATTGAGTATCTGTCCCTTCTCCTCTCCTCATTCAAATATAGACAGTAAGAACTAATGAATATCTGACCCTTCTTAACATGAAACTTTCTTTCTTTTTTTTTTTTTTTTGGGGGGTCCGGTCGTGGGTCCTGAACTCTGGGCCTGGGCACTGTCCCTCAGCTCTTCAGCTCAAGGCTAGCGCTCTACCACTTGAGCCACAGCGCCACTTCCGGCTTTTTTCTTTTTGCTTATGTGGTGCTGAGGAATCGAACCCAGGGCCTCAAGCATGCAAGGCAAGCACTCTACCACTGAGCCACCTTCCCAGCCCAACTTTCTTTCTTTTTAAAAACATAAACAAGTATATGATGAAAGTGGAACATTTTGTTTTGTTTTGTGTAAGTACTAACTCTTGAACTCCAAGCTTTGAGCTCTGACTGCTCAGCTTCAACAACCACCCCTATCCGGTCACGCTGGTAGTCTTACCATTTGAATACTCTACTTCCTGGTTTCTGATGGCTAATTGGGAATGACACCTTAAAGGATTTGTTTCCACAGGTATACTTCTAACTAAAATTCTGAGACCTCAGCTTCCTGAGTAGTGAGGGTTTTATAGACCTTATGGGTATTATGAACTTACTTAGTATGGAGTGTGCATTGTGTATGTAACATTTAAAATACTGTATACGTCTTTCATGGAGTGTTTTTTTAAACTAAACATTTTCTTCCTTGTAGATTATAAAACTGAAAATTGATCTAGTGTATACCTTGTGCTCCAACATGGATTCTGTAATTCTCCACTGAAGTATTTTGTTTTTCCCTGTTTTGTTTTTATAGAAAGTACTACTGTGTAGATAATGTAGAAATGGACTTACAAAGACTGAAAAATACTCAGTGGTGTGCAATATACAATCTTTTTGTGTGTGTGGTGGGCAGAATCTAGGAAATAGAACTTCTAAATCAAATAATAAATGCAAATGTTATTTTAATATCTATGATAATGATGTTACTCCTATTGATCTAAAATAGCATCTCAGAAAAAAAAGAAAAAGAATTTAGAAATTTGCTCTTACAGAGAATTTATTTCTAGTTTTTCTCATAAATATTTTCTCCTTGTAATATTAATTTTGGATTGTTATAGTAGTATAATAAATCATTAATATTGTTTACAATTTTAGTATTCTATGTTAAAATTATAGAGAAAATATTTTAAGTTACATATTAGTATAGTTAAAAAGAAAAGTCTGGCAGAAAGTTTAAGATCATGAGGTCTTTATTGGTTGTCCTACTTCTGAAATTCTATGACTTTATGAGCTATTACCTTAGGGAGTTTTCTAAAGTAGGACAGATACAATCATAAATGAAATAGAAGTTTTTATACCAACTATGTTTTTATGCCCATTTCTTCTTATTTAATTCTATATTTTAACAGGTTTTTATCTACAGAAAAAAGAAACATTTGTTTATGTATAAATACAATGTTGAAGTAATATATTTTATATTCAATGTATATATATAAGCAATTTAACAAAAGCTTTAAGCAGTTTAACCAAAGCAGTTTAACAAAAGCTTCCAGTTACCAACTAGCTCCAATGAAAATGATCTTCCTTTAATCTAAAGAACAGGCGTTTAACAGGAAGAACCAGATTCTCCAGGTGTGAAGTAAGCAATCTGTTCTCATTTAATATGACTAGCAAAAGTACAGCTTTATCTCTAACTTATTTGAATTCATTATTTGCCTTTCATTTAACTATGTAAGAACCATAAGAAATCAGCCTGTGACCTATAACATAGAGATCTCAGTATTTTGATGAAACATATCATTAGCTGGCACTCAGATTTTCTTTCAGAGAAAGGACTCCAACATCACAGGTGGAAAAACAGCAACAGGAACAAGCAAAAAGTAAGTTATTCTTTTTGTACATTTAACATAGGGATATCCCTAGAAGAAATCTAGTTTTACTGTGGAAGTTAAACGTAGCTCCACACACTAGTTAAAACTACTTCTTTTGTTCAGATTTGGAAAGAGCCAAAACATAGCTGATCTGTTCATATACTGTGCTGATAAGCTGGAAAAGGATTTAGTGGTAGAGCTCTTAGTTAATTAGCTTTAAAGGAAATAATTTTTAACTTCTTTAAGGAATGGCTTCTCATTTTGGAAACAGTAGAAAATCAACTCTTATAAAAAATAAATCTAAAATCCTTTCTTCAATAGACAATAAATTAATCATGGTATGTTTGCTTGAGAGAATATTTTTATATTTAACAGTGACAAGAGGCTAATGCCCAAAAGCCTAACCTTCAAAGTTACGGCAGTTTTCCACATAGTTTTAATGAGTTCCTTCATGCTGGTTTCCAGCATGAAGAAAAAAAAATCTTATTGTAAGAGGAATAATACAAAATATAAAAAGACTCAGCTACCTATTTACTATGTCAGCTAGCATATTGAAAGTATTTAAATTACAGAATTTAACATAAAGTTTTCAAAGCATTAAATTAATGCAGTGTTTAATTCTGCATTGTTTCAATGTAACATCTCTGAGTAGGTCAGATGCTTCCTAAGTCATTTTATAAATGATACTTTTAAATTTAATAAATATCCCATTTCATACTAAAATAATTATGGTATTTTAACAGTAGACTTAAGGTTGGTTTTGTGACATATTATATAGATCAATCATTATATAGATCAATGAATGTATATATAGGTTAGTTGAATCAGGAAGTACAAGTTAAAAAATCATGTAAAGCTGGGCACTGGTGGCTCTCGCCTGTTATCCTAGCTATTCAGGAGGCTGAGATCTGAAGATTGTGGTTCAAGGCCAGCCTGGGTAGGAAAGTCTGTGAAACTCTTATCTCCAATAAACCACCAGAAAACCAGAAGTGGCGCTGTGGTTCAAGTGGTAGAGTGCTAGCCTTGTGCTGAAGAGCTGAGGGACAGCGCTCAGACCCAGAGTTCAAGACCCATGACCGACTAAAAAAAAAAAATCATGTAAGTTTTAAGAAAAATCTTAAAAGATCTTACTATTCAAGTTAATGTAATAACATTAACTTATTTACACTAAATAAAAAGGAGAAAAAAGCATTAAATAGGTATTTTACAAAAATGTCTAACTTAAATGATATGTATAACATAGTAATTCTTAATTCATTTTAGACACAATCTAATTTTTTACCCTTAATTTAAGGAGCCAAAGGAGCTGAAATTCCAGTAAGATCCAATGCTTTAACCTAAATCTAGAGAAATGTTACAAATTGTCATTAATGGTAGGGGAAAAAAAAAGGAGGGAGTAAAAATGCTTGATAGGCATAAAAATGCATCTTATAATTTTGAAAAAGAGAAAAAGAAAAAGGGAAATAATCTTTCTTGGGTAGAATCCAGTAATGCTTCTCCAGAAATATTTTATTTGACAGAAAGGACTATGTCAGGGCATTTGTGAATATATAATACATTTATCCCATTATTATAAATTATTATGAACTTTTTATTCATGTTTGTCTTTACCAATTTTCATTATCTGTAATAGAGTGAATAAAGTTTTATATGAATCACTCAAATCTACTTTTGCTATTTCCCAGAACAAATGATTAAAGCTGATTGCCTTATGTACAATTATTGTTCTAGAAGATATAATTACTGTTTTATATTGACCATCTTGTATAATACTACATTTGACAGTGTTATCTTATATTCCTTCCTAACCTATCTTCTTACAAATTTTTCAAGTTTGATATTGCAGCTTATTAAAATTTTTTGCCTCAAATGTGAAAAAATGTAAGATTTGACTTGTTCTACTCACAAATGAAATAAATTATCCCTCACAAGTGAAGTAGAATACAGGAAATGTAAAAGTAATAATTGTAAGTCTTATTCTATAGCTTAGAAATCTATTTCCATAAATTCAACTGTCTGAAGTTCTTTTTCACTATTACTACAGAAAATCAGCAAGAAAATAAAAATGTACAAAGCTAACTTGAATTAAATACTTAAAACAGAATATTCTAAATAACTTACAGACAAGAAAAAAATGAGGTACAACGAAAGTTTAGCAATGCAGATGCAAATATACATAGCAATGTTTTTAAGTAAACTTCCAACATCTATAAAGGGCTTTTTCTGCTAAAAAACAAATTTCAAGGTCTTACCCCTTATGATCTGGCTTTTTTCCTCAATATTCACCTAACCTAACTGCCTCTTTTAAGAATTCATCCTTAGCTGGATGCTGGTGACTCGTGCCTGTAATACTAGCTACTCAGGAAGCTGAGATCCTCAGATCTCAGTTCAAAGCCAGCCCAGGCAGGAAAGTCCAAGAGACTTTTATCTGCAGTTAACCAGCAGACCACATATAATATTATTAACCATCATCATCATCTAGTCTCATGGCACTTAGTACCATACATATATTCTGATACAGCCTCTTCTAAAACCATCACAAAAGACATTAAATGGCTTTTTAAAATTCAAGATATGCTGTGAAAATATTTCACCACTTCATTTTATTTGTGTGCATATAATTTTACATAAATATTAATCATGTCCATTGACTTGATTTCTTGTAAATTTGCTAGGAAAGATGGATTAATGCTAACATTATTAGCATTTTCAAAATTAGACTATTTTATAAATATGTACTCAGGTTTCATAAAGACATCACTGAATACAAACTTGTACATATTTTGTTCTAAAATAGTCTGGATACCTTTGCAAAGGTGTTAAGAAAAATCAGCAAAATACAATCAAAGGCATCTTTTCAGATATATAAAATGTATAAGCAAATAGAGCTATATAAAATAATATGTAATCTAGAGATATCAGAAAACAAGTTCAAAATTACCTGTATTGCTTAAAACTCACACAGAATGTACTTGTCACTGAACTGGTTTAAACTGAATATGCATATTTAGTAATCTATTTTTAACATTACATAGATCACATTCCATAGGTAAAGCATATTTAGTAATGAAAATTCTTCTAGTTCTAAAGATTAAACCTAAAAATTGGAATTATGCTCTAAAGTACTATTTATTAAGGCAAAGCATGTCACAGATAGCATACAGATATTAAAGAACTTATTGTGTGCAAGTTTCCCCATCACTTCTTTCTCCCTACTGTATTAAACTCACAGCAACCCTACATTATGTATTTTCTATTACTTTTCCTATTTCATCATTCTTTTTGCCTACCCTAGTTTTTAAAAAATACTATTATTATTATTGCTATTTTATTTATATTTTGGAGACAAGATGTCACCATGTGGTACAGGCTACCCTCAAACTTGCACTAGTGATCCTATTGCTTTAGCCTCCTACATATTGTAGTAGTCTTGTGTCACCATGCCTAGATGACTTTTCTAATTTTTTTAAAGCTTCTTTTTAAAAGAAACAAGGATTTCTTTCCTTTCCTTCTTCTTTTCTTTTTTCTTTTCCTTCTTTCTTTCTTTTCAGATAGGAAATAGTTATCTGAGGCCAACTGCTTCTGGAAAAAAAATATAAAATTTATCTTTGTTTAATATAGTCATTTTCTCTGTTTAAGAGAAAAGTGAAGATGAAAGACCGACTTCAAGAACTAAAGCAGAGAACAAAAGAAATTGAACTCTCTACAAACAATCAGTTACTGACTATGGAGTCAGAGGAACAAGGGGTGTTTGTACAGCAAGCTGTTATTTATGAAAGAGAACCTGTAGCTGAAAAGCACCTACATGAGATCCAAAAGCTACAGGAGAACATTAGCAATTTTGCAGATAATGTTCATCAATTTGGACAGCAACAAAAAAGTCTAGTGGCTTCCATGAGAAGGTTTAGTCTACTCAAGAGAGACACTAGCATTGCAAAGGAGATAAAATGCCAAGCAGAAAACATTAACAGAGGTTTGGCTAATTTAGTTAAAGAACTTAAAAAGTCAGAGGTTGAAAATGGTCCAACATCTGTGGTCACAAGGATACTTAAGTCTCAGTATGCTGCCATGTTCCGCCATTTTCAGCAAACCATGGTTATGTACAATGAAACAATAGCAGCAAAGCAAGAGAAATGCAAGACATTTATATTCCGTCAACTTGAAGTTGCTGGAAAAGAACTGCCTGAAGAAGAAGTAAATGATATGCTTCATCAAGGAAAATGGGAAGTTTTTAATGAAAGCTTCCTTACAGAAATCAATATCACTAAAACACAACTCTCAGAGATTGAACAGAGACACAAAGAACTTGTTAATTTGGAGAACCACATAAAAGATTTACGGGATCTTTTCATTCAAATTTCTCTTTTAGTGGAGGAACAAGGAGAGAGTATCAACAATATTGAAATGATGGTGAACAGTACAAAAGATTATGTTAACAATACTACAGAGAAATTTGGACTTGCTGTAAAATACAAAAGAAGAAATCCTTGCAGGGAACTGTGCTGTTGCTGTTGTCCCTGTTGTGGCTCAAAATGAAGAAGTTACTCTAGAAACTTTTCTAGTTTTTAGGTAAAAGATACTTCAGTGTCTTGTTTGTATTTCTTCATTTCACTGTTCCATTCACATGCATTCCATAATCCTAAGTTATAATTACTCCCATTAGCATTTCCCACTAGATTTATAGAAACTTTGGAAGTTCGTGATAAATCAAATCCTGACGTTAATACACAAAAATATTAATACACCACACTGAAGTTAGATTCATCCTAGATATAAGGGAATGGTTCAATATGTACACAAATACACTTAACAAAGATTGATCACATTTATACAGTGAAAGACAAAAATCTCCATGATGATCTCAATAAGTGCACAAAATGAATGTACTTGCTCATAAAAAAATTTAAAAATATTAAGAAGGAAATGTACTGCAATACAATAAAGGCTATGTGCCAATGCCATACTGTATGTTTGGAAAAGCTGAAATCATTTCCTCTAAGATCAAAAATAAATCAGTGTTTATCACTATAATGTGTATCTATATAAAGACAATTCACTTATCATCTATTGTGTGATGTAACTTGTTACTTAGATATATTGTGCACCTCACTACAATCTAAGCTCTAGAGGCCATATACATGTATTGTTCCTTTTGTTTCCACAAATACATCCTTCTCACCAAAATAATGTGTAGCATATAGTAGATACTCAGTAAATATTTGTTGAATATATTAACGGGAAAAATACATGTACAAAATAAAGATAATTTAGTTAAGATGCACATAATTATTTCACAAATGGCCAGCATTCATTAAAGTTCACCTTTCATATGTATCTCTATTAACGTTTTACTTCAGATTCAATAAAGATGTGAACTGATTACATGAACCAATTTCCTTACTAAATTTACAAAAAAAAATTTTCTTGTGAAAATACCATGCAAAGGAGTTACAATTACATGGGCAAGAAAATAAGTTCATTTCTTATCAAGCATTGTTGCCTCCTCCTTTGTTTCCCCTTCCTAAAGTAAAGCTTTACTAGTGAAGTCTGAAACAAAATTTTAGCATTTGCAATCAAATCTTCCAAGCTGCATTATTTTAAAATCTGTTTACGACTGTTTCTAAAAACACTGAGAAAGTATACTTACAATTTTTCATCTATCCACAATAAGTTGTTTGTTTTAAAAAAGATAAATCCTTAATAATGAGTCAGGAAATGAGCCAAAAGCAACAAAACACAAAGAAAGCTAATTGAAAGTTAATTGAAAGTCAGAGCAACTTAAAATATAAGCTAAAATGCAGGAAAAGGTGATACTGTTCAAAAAGAAATGTGTTTAATATCTCACTTATATAACTGTAACTCTGCGGTATATAACATTCACAGTAAAAATTTTAAAAACAAACAAACAGCAATCCCACTTATGGGCATTTACCCAAATGATCACAAACAAAACCATACTAAAGCTACCAGCACAACTATATTTACTGCAGCAGTATTTACCATAGCTAAGATATGGAACCAACCCAGATACCCCTCAGTAGATGAATGGATGAAAATGTGGTATATATACACAATGGAATTCTATGCCTCCATCAGAAAGAATGACATTGCCCCATTTGTTAGGAAATGGAAAGACTTGGAAAAAATTATATTAAGTGAAGTAAGCCAGGCCCAAAGAAACATAGGTCCCATGGTTTCCCTTATTTGCCATAACTAGTATATATCTGGGACAAGCAGAAAAGGTCAAAAGCTATGTATGTATGACCAGATAAGATGATGTTAAGCGAAATGAACCCCAAGATAGGGACAAAAGTGTTTTTGTTTTCTTTCTTGCTATCATTTCTAACGTATCTATAATGTATCATGTGGTTTTTTTTGTTGCTTTGTATGTCCCTTCCCCAAGGTATAACCTGTTTTCACTGTATTTGATGTCGGTCTAATTTGGGGAGGGGAAGGGAAAAAACAAAATATTTAAATAGGGATACAGGTTGACCCATTGCAACAATGAGATGTACAAGACACTGTTAAACAACAATTTTTACTATATAGGTGGGGGTGGGGCAGTAGGGGAGGTAAGGAGAGAAGGGATAGTAGGGGAAAAACAAAGGAGAAGGTAACAATGCTTGATAAGAAATGCACTCATTACCTAGCTCATGTAACTGTAACCCATTTGTACAGTATTTTCACAATAAAAAACATTTAAAAAAAGAAAAATGAGGGAAGGAGTGGGGAGGGGAGGGATGGGAGAGAATGTTGAAAGGGTGACATTGATTAAGACATATTGTATTCAAGGAGGAGGCTGCAATGCTTGGTAAGAAATGTACGCATTATCCTGCCCATGCAATTGTAACCCCTCTGTACAGTATGTTCACAAATAAAATAAAATAAAATTAAAAAAAAAATGAAAAAAAAAGACATATTGTATTCATAAACAGCTTTGTCAACTCCTTTCTAAAACTACTTAAAAATAATAAAAGTATGTTTTGATATTTAAAATGTCTTTTTAAATGAGTTTTTTAATTGTGAAAATACCGTACAGAGGGGTCATTTTTTAAAAGATAAAAAAAAAACAAAAACAAAAAAAAGAAAACAAAACTAAGCTACTTTTACTTTAGTATGCCTCATAATTACAGCGCCATCTGGTGAATACTATGCATAAGTGCTATGAGAATAAAAGTCTTATCTTTAAAATATGCAGACATGAAGGCAAAATAACATAAGCACATAACTAGTAGGAAAATAACTAAAAGATCATATATGAAATATGGAAATTTAGAAGCAATTTCTGGGAAAAGAAATATGGCACTAGAAAATTGAACAACTAAAATAACTTTTTTTAAAGCACTCAACAAAAAAAGGGAAAAACTGAAAAGAAAAATCTCAACCTTGGTATTTTTGTTCTTTTGGTCTTTTTTTTTTTTTCTTTATCTTTTGCGGCACTGGAAATTAGAGTTGAACCACATTCATAGTCCTTTTGCTTTTAGTTTGTTTTTGAGATAGCACCTCACACTTTCACAGGGCTGGCCTTGGATGATTCTCTCTCTCAAGTAGAACCATGTTAATAGACTATTTCAAAATGTGAAAATCAATACAAAGTAAATCATTAAATAAAACAGTCACTGTAGTTGAATACCCAGGAGATCTAATTATAAGCCTTCTTTAAAGCACAGCTTCAATTTCTTTATCACTATGGATACCATTACAACAATCCCTCAGTGTATATTAGCAACTCACAGATATTTACATTTTATTACACTAGTGGATGACCAATTTAGCTTATTTAGTACTTTGTCACAGATAAATTTCTTGATTGGTTAACGCTGCTGCCCCTGGGTTTACAATATGAATAATATTACTTACACTAATATAGGTTTTCCCGATATCCTAGGATGTCTTAGCACTTCTGACATTGTCTCTTTTGTCTCCTCCATTCTCTCTTCATCGCTGGAATCCACAACAAATATTACCCCATAGGATTCAGCATAGTAATTCTTCCAAATTCCCCGAATTCTTTTTCCACCTCCTAAGTCAAAGATAGTAACTTCGAACTTTCCTTGTCTAAGGTCAATTTTAGAAAATCCAACAGTAGGAGCTACATCTTCAGGGTGCTCTGTTTCAAATGATAAAAAGAAACAATATTTAGACTTGACGTTAATTATATTAGTATCTCACAGAGGTATGAAAATAAAAACCAAAGAGTGGAAAACAGAGAACAATGAAAGATTAATAGACCCCTGTTGACTCAACAGTTACAGAAAAATGCTTAGGCTTTATGTTTGCCAGTTACATTCTGACTTGAGACATCATGAGAAACTACTATAAAAGCTGTCCATATTCAGTCTAGGAATAAAAACAACAGACACAAAAATATAAAACCCTGAGGAGGATTCATTTGGGACACTTTGAATAGCTCCGTAAAACTGGAATCCTCAAGATAAAGGTAATCAGTCAGTCATCACTAGGGTAGATTAAAGAAGAAATGTGAGATGAAGAACAAAGGAGAGGAGCTCAAAGGAAGGGGCAGCTGTGACTTTTACCTTACTATGTGATGCCCTGAGTATTTTTTTGACTCAGAAAAAGGAACTGACCAACATATAGAGGTATAACACCGAAGAGAAAGAGCCAAACTAAAAGAGAATATTCTAAGTCTGATTAGCAAATCTAATGTGTGAGCTTTCTTGAATGTAAGGTTTTGAAGGAATAGAAAAAGGGATGAAATTTAAATGAGGTGTCCAGGCCTGCAGGTCAAATCTGCCTTGCTAACTGCTTTTGCATATTTATAAAGATTATGCTTCACATTTGCAAATGATTAAAAACATAAAGAAAAATGTTTCAATACACATGAAATTCAAAATTTAAAGATCCATAAATAAACAGCTTTTGGTGCTCACTTGTTGCTTTCTCATTACGCTGTCAGACTTGTGTGCAGTCAGCTCCACCGTCTCAAATATTCACTATCTCTTAGCAGAAAAAGTTTGCTCTGCAACAATACTCCCCATAAGATACATCCAAAAGGGATTCAAAGGAATATCCCAAACACATTATGTAATTTGCATCTAATGTTTACATAGCAGAATTTGTGGTGACTAAATCTTTTCCTCCAATGTTTTCCTCCATATGTGTTACAAAGCATAACTAAATAGAAGACCTCTGACTATTTAGTATGCATGTTCTTTTACCTTCATCAGCAATTTTCAGGAACAAATCAAAGATAGATTTTTTTTCCTAGTGATACTCTCAAGATACCTAGCTTGTGATACAGCCTCAGTAGCCTCTCTACTATCATAGACTCTACTACAGTGTACAACAAAACCTTAAATTAAAACTAACCATCTTCACTAAGCATAGTGATACATACTTATAATTCCAACTACTAGAGAGACAGAGGCTGGGACACCTTTGAAGCTAGACCTACTATAACAGTGAAGTAGAGTTTGATGGGTGCATGCCTATAGTCCCAGCTATGCAGGAAATGTAGGTATGTAGGGAGATTGCAGCCCAAGGCTGACCAAGGCAAAAAAGCACAACCCCAATCTGAAGAATAAAGCAAAGGTGGCTGAGAAAGTAACTCATGTGGTACTGAGTTCATACTTCTCCCAGAAAAAATATCATCCACTGTGATTAAAAAAAAAAATCATTAAGATGCAAAGAGAGCTGTGCAGGCTAACTATACTTCCTTTTGTTCCTTTCTTGTAGAACACCTGTATGACCAAATTCTGGCCAAGAAAATGTAAGTAGAAGATAGGAACCCTTAACCCTAGAGGAACAACAGAACCTTAAAGGCATTGGTTTTTATCATCTTATGTTTTTCCTTCCTGGGGCCAGAATAGAGATGCATTACTGGCAGGACCTGTGTATCAGCATGAACAGCTATTAAGTGTGAATATGATAACTTGCTGGTACAGTTAACCAGAGCTCATACTTATCAGGAATAGAAAGTAATGGAATATAAACCATGTGTACCCTATCAATATAACAGAACAATTTAACATAAATAATTGAGAATTATTTAAGAGTTGGAGGAACACAAATGTTTTCAGCTTACCTCCTTGGATTCCCTTCGCAGTGGCTGTTTTACCAGCGTTATCAAGTCCCACCATCACAAGAGTCACCTTTCTTAAAAATAAATAAATAAATAAATAAATAAAATCACTTTCCTTTCCATTTAGCATTGAAAAAGAATAATAAAAGCAGCTTTATTCATTCAAGAAACATTTAAAGAGCATCTGTTCTAAATAAGAAATATGCCAGGTATGGGGAGGGACTATAATGAATAAAATAAGAAGTAGGGAGGAAAATTTAAAACAAAAATAGCTGTAAACTATCATTCTTTTGTTCTCTAAACAAAGTAAAATTATATAGTATATAATCAGGGGAATAGAAAATAAGGAAAAGAAAAGTGTGGGGTGGAGTCTGACCCTAGGTTCTTGATCATTGTTAAGGACTCTGTTTTTAAGTGTCTCTCCCAATTTTTTTTTTTTTTTTGTGGTCATAGGGCTTGAACTTGGGGCTTGGGCTCTGTCTAAACTCTTCTGCTCAGGGCTAGCACTCTACCTTTTCAAGCCATAGTTCCACTTCTGGCTTTTGAGGGGTTAATTAGAGCTAAGAGTCTCCCAGGGACTTTTCTGTCCCAGTTGGCTTTGAACCATGATTCTCCTATAACAAGGATTACAGGCATGGGCTAATGGCATCCCGCTCACAAATCTATTTCACCAGAAAATAATTCTTTCTAGGTCTCTGCTCTACTCTGTTACTTGATATACAGCCCTTACCCAATGTGAATCTTAAATACAGTATAAGGGTGTGGTTATTGACCCAGATTCTAACATATTTTTAAAGATGCTTCTTTAATTAAAAACTTTTGAAGTATTTCTGAGGATAGAGCCAAACTGAAATTAAATAATAACTAGTTCAATTTTACAACCTAAGTCCAGATAAATTAGTCAAAAGTCACACAATGAAACAATTACCAGGTCAGAATGAGAACCCTAGTCCTATTTCCCCCAAATTCCCAGGAACTTCATAAATCTGCAAAAGATATAAAGGAACTAACCTATTATATTGGCCCTCTAAATCTGGTGATTCAGTCTACCATACTGGCTTTGAAGTTGACTGAGATAAATCTATTCTGCATAATAATCCCCTTTATTATCCAGGAGGCTTGGGCTTTTCCATTTCAGCAGCCCATAGGGAATAAACAGAAGTGACTACTGCACAAGACACAGAGAAAGAATAAAGTAAATCACAATAGGCAAGTATCCTCAGATCCCAGGCCTAACCAGCTAGTAGTGAAGCCAGCTGGGATGCAAGAGACTTCCACAGCAGATGATGAATTCATGGAGATGAGGCAGCATGGAAGGTCTCCTTGGGGTCCTATTGCTTGTGGAACTTTTACAGCATTATCAACTTTGAAAACATGAATTTGCTTCCTAAGGAAGCTAATTTTATCATTTAATAAATATATTAGAAAATTCAAGTTACTCTATATGAGATTAAAACAACATTAACATTAAAACCAGCTCAACTTTTCAGTTATTTATGATGAAGTTCAAAATCTACAGTGCTTTAAACATCCAACAACTTAGACAAATACTTTTGGAGAATAAATCCATGTTTTCCACTTGTTTGCAACATTTATTCTATAAATACTAAACATTCGTTATATAGTAGTAAACAAATATTCAAGATTCTTAGTCTCCATGAACCATAGCCATTGGAGCAGTGACTTCAGTAACACAGGACAACTGAAATAAAGAGGAAGTTCCAGCAGCTATGACAGAAGGTAGAAGTTTAAGACCTTGCTACAAGCAACATCATCTGAATCAGACGCCCTTATAAACATCATGGAGCTGTTTCACATATCCTCATGAGCTGAAGTAAAAATCCTCTAATACACGGTTTTAAAGATCGTGTGTCATTCACCATTATGTGGTAGCATAATCTTGACCATGTCAAGATTTCAGTTTTACAGCAACACACTTCATCTACTACATATTTTGAGCACTGCACGAGTCTTGTGCAAACAGAGGAAGTACTCTACCACTGAACTACATAGTCATCTTTGATCATTACTTTTAAGACTATCAAAATTGTTAGTCATACCTTAAGTGCTTGTCTGTCTGTCTGTCTATCTATCTATCTATCTATGCTATTAGATTCAAACAAACTGAAAAGGTTTTCAAAAAGGAAAATCATTTTGAAAAATTATAATCAGGCTCTGATTGGCACAAAATAAGTCTTTCTGGATTCATTTTTTTATCTACTCTATCCTTGCAACTAGTAAAATTTTAATATTATGACATATACTTGAAAAAAGGTTTTAAATATTTGAGGTAATTAAAGACTTGGTGAATAAATATGTAACAGCAGTATAAAGAAAAATCACAACATAAATTACTGTAATGCTTTAAAAGAAAGTATTAAACTTATACTCCTAGAAAATAGTGGGTTTTAAATGTTAATTTTTATTTTTAAAAAATCAAACGTCTATAAACTCTTAGCATTTGGTTTGCTTTCTGGCAGTATAGGAGTTTGAGCTAAGTGCTTCATGCTTGCTAGGCAAGCACTCTAGGCAAATAGGCTTCAGACATACCTCCAACTTTTTTGCTCTAGTTATTTCTGAGATGGGGTTTCAGAATTTGCTAGAGCAAAAAGGGTTTCTTAAATGTAGCTGGAAGGACAGATGCATACCACTATGCCCAGCTTTTTATATGAATATGGGGGTCTTGCAAACTTTTTTCTTGCCTAAACTAGCCATAATCATGATTCATTCTCTCAATCTCAGCCTCCCACGGAGTTGGGATTGCAAGCATGATTCACCCTGCCTGGCTTGTTTGTTTTGAGACGATTTTTTTAAGTAGCCTAGGCTGGCCACAGGGTCTTGCTAAATAGGTAGCCCAGGCAGGCAAAAAATCCATGATCCTCTGGCCTCACCTTCCCTAGTAGTACAGGTCACAGGCAATCACCACCACACCTATGTGATTTTTAATAGATATATAATTTTAAAATTTGGATAAACAATTGAATATATGTTAAAATGTACATATCTTTATAGTTTTTTAATATGATAAATTTCACTGGTGATAGTTTGATGTCCTAAATGACAAAAAGAGATGAATGATTTGTCTTTTAATCTTACAATTATAGATCAAATACATTAGCTCTTCACATTGAAAAAGTAAGACAGTATTCATAGGACCATAGAGTCTAAAAAAATTGATACAATAAAATCAATCACCTATTCAGACAATAATTCAGTAAAAGCATGATAGGGATTATAGATATGAAAATTTATCAGATGATTTCTATCCCAAAGTGCTCATCCTTTAGTGAGAGTGACTAAAACATAAATATTAATTCATGGTGACACTATGACACTATGACAGATATTCATCTACCTATGCACAATGATAAAGAGAAAATAAGGACATCATCCAGCACAGCATTAGACATGGTCAGATAAGCACTTAAATGAGAATGTTGCAAAGGAAGGGGAAGGTAAAGACTGGAGGATGTAAAAAGGGACTCAAATCAAGAACACCCCATTAAAAGACATCCTCCTCCCATTGCAACGAGATGTACAAGTCGTTATGTCAAAAAATGAACTTTACAACTTTTGTTGGGGGGACGGGAGGGGAAACAAAGGAGGAGGCTACAATGCTTGATAAGAAATGTGCTCATTATCTTACCCACATAATTGTAACCCCTCTGTACAGTATTTTCACAATAAAAATATATTAAATAAAAGACATCCTCCTGTCTTGTGAGCTAACAAATCCAGTGGTTAAAAGTAGATATTAGTACAGAAAACTTAAGCAATAAGAGGACAAAATCTTTACTATGTCTAAGTATATATTGAATCTGAAAGGAAATTTTGACTTACTTTCACTTAAGAAACTAGTATTAGCAAATAATTAATGGGTGGCCTTCTAAGAAGTATAAACTAATTATGTCACTTTTACTGTTAGATGTCCCTGAGTCTTAGGTTCCATCCTAAATCAGAAAGACTAAGATAGAAAGGGCTCAGTGGTATTCTAAGGACTGACAATTTTTGTACTAGTACTATGTAAACATACTATGAGCACTCTTATAGCCACAAACAAGTGTCACAAAGACTTTGTAATTTTTAAAGCTGTATTACCGGGGACACATGACCTAGCTTCTAAAGAATTTCAGTAGTAAAATAATGAAAACACCGCTCCAAAAAGATGTGGTAAAATATAGATAATTTATAACACAAGGGTGTGGCCATCCAACTCCTATTATACACCAAGTTCAAGACATGGAGTCCATAGAACATGAGCTGGGAACAGATTATGTAAGAGGATTCATGTGTTCAGCCTTAAACTGATTCATGAAATTAGTTTAAGTTGAGTTCAGTTTAAGACTAAACTCAATTGCTGGGTTACCAATGTCACTGTTAAAAATCTGAAGCCAGAAAAGAGATCTGGACTACATTTATGAATCACCTAGATTGCAGTGAAAATGAAGTAACCCAGGAAATGCATAGAAAGAGCCAGGGAAAGGAGAATTCTAATAATCTTTGGAAACTTTGAACATTAGAACAGGAAAAAAAAAACAACAGGAAATCAAATAAATAGCACCATTGAGAACCAATTCTGAAAAGTAGGAAATGAACACGATCAAACACTAGAAAATTTTGTGAACTTACAAAGTGGTACAGACATAGTGGTATAATCTTGTAATCATAGCACTAGAGAGACTGAGGGAAGAGCATCATGTGTTCAAGACTATCTTGGGCTATAGAGCGAGCGCTGTCCAAAAACATTTTTAAAGTATCTCATGGATAAGCACATCAAATTAATTACTTCAGAATTAAATGCTCTCAGCTTTCTGCAGTACCTATGCTTTTACTTGATACAGCATGTCACAATTAGTTAAAGCTACTTCACGATTTACCCTTATGCTGCCCAGCAAGCAAAGCTCATCCCAAGACAAGGTGCTCAAAGTTTAAGGATTAATAAGAACCTAGTGCACAGCAGTGTCTAGGGAAAGTTTGAATACAATTGTTTGTAAAAATATTAAATACAATTATTTTTGGTAACCTTAACCATTTGTTATCTTAAACTTTACTCACATATACAGGAGTAAATTTA